AATCTCATCCGATTTTCACGAAGTTTGCATTTTTCTTCATGGTTTTCCCTCTAGATTAATGTGGCATTCAAATCTCGACACCGATTTTTTGTTCGAAATTCATGTCCAAATTTTACCCCAAGATTCTTATATAGACATGGGTCAAAAATTACCACCCCCATATCTCGGCCAAATCTCTTCAGATTTTCACGAAGCTTGGCTTTTTCTTCATGGTTTTCCCTCTAGATTAATCTGGCATTAAAATCTCGACATCGATTTTTTGGTCGAAATTCATGTCCAAATCTTACCCCAAGATTCGTATATAGACATGGTCAAAAATGACCACCCCCAAACCTCGGTCAAATCTCATCCGATTTTCACGAAGTTTGGCTTTTTCTTCATGGTTTTCCCTCTAGATTAATGTGGCATTCAAATCTCGACACCGATTTTGGTCGAAATTCATGTCAAGTTTTACCCCAAGATTCTTATATAGACATGGGTCAAAAATTACCACCCCCATATCTCGGTCAAATCTCATCCGATTTTCACGAAGTTTGGCTGTTTCTTCATGGTTTTCCCTCTAGATTAATGTGGCATTCAAATCTCGACACCGATTTTTTGGTCGAAATTCATGTCCAAATTTAACCCCAAGATTCTTATATAGACATGGGTCAAAAATTACCACCCCCATATCTCGGCCAAATCTCTTCAGATTTTCACGAAGCTTGGCTTTTTCTTCATGGTTTTTCCTCTAGATTAATCTGGCATTAAAATCTCGACACCGATTTTTTGGTCGAAATTCATGTCCAAATCTTACCCCAAGATTCGTATATAGACATGGTCAAAAATGACCACCCCCAAACCTCGGTCAAATCTCATCCGATTTTCACGAAGTTTGGCTTTTTCTTCATGGTTTTCCCTCTAGATTAATGTGGCATTCAAATCTCCACAATGATTTTTTGGTCGAAATTCATGTCCAAATTTTACCGGTGATTCTTATATAGACATGGGTCAAAAATTACCACCCCCATATCTCGGTCAAATCTCATCCGATTTTCACGAAGTTTGGCTTTTTCTTCATGGTTTTCCCTCTAGATTAATGTGGCATTCAAATCTCGACACCGATTTTTTGGTCGAAATTCATGTCCAAATCTTACCCCAAGATTCGTATGTAGCCATGGGTCAAAAATTACCACCCCCATATCTCGGTCAAATCTCATCCGATTTTCACGAAGTTTGCATTTTTCTTCATGGTTTTCCCTCTAGATTAATGTGGCATTCAAATCTCGACACCGATTTTTTGGTCGAAATTCATGTCCAAATTTTACCCCAAGATTCTTATATAGACATGGGTCAAAAATTACCACCCCCATATCTCGGTCAAATCTCATCCGATTTTCACGAAGTTTGGCTTTTTCTTCATGGTTTTCCCTCTAGGTTAATCTGGCATTAAAATCTCGACATCGATTTTTTGGTCGAAATTCATGTCCAAATCTTACCCCAAGATTCGTATATAGACATGGTCAAAAATGACCACCCCCAAACCTCGGTCAAATCTCATCCGATTTTCACGAAGTTTGGCTTTTTCTTCATGGTTTTCCCTCTAGATTAATGTGGCATTCAAATCTCGACACCGATTTTGGTCGAAATTCATGTCAAGTTTTACCCCAAGATTCTTATATAGACATGGGTCAAAAATTACCACCCCCATATCTCGGTCAAATCTCATCCGATTTTCACGAAGTTTGGCTGTTTCTTCATGGTTTTCCCTCTAGATTAATGTGGCATTCAAATCTCGACACCGATTTTTTGGTCGAAATTCATGTCCAAATTTAACCCCAAGATTCTTATATAGACATGGGTCAAAAATTACCACCCCCATATCTCGGCCAAATCTCTTCAGATTTTCACGAAGCTTGGCTTTTTCTTCATGGTTTTTCCTCTAGATTAATCTGGCATTAAAATCTCGACACCGATTTTTTGGTCGAAATTCATGTCCAAATCTTACCCCAAGATTCGTATATAGACATGGTCAAAAATGACCACCCCCAAACCTCGGTCAAATCTCATCCGATTTTCACGAAGTTTGGCTTTTTCTTCATGGTTTTCCCTCTAGATTAATGTGGCATTCAAATCTCCACAATGATTTTTTGGTCGAAATTCATGTCCAAATCTTACCCCAAGATTCGTATGTAGACATGGGTCAAAAATTACCACCCCCATATCTCGGTCAAATCTCATCCGATTTTCACGAAGTTTGCATTTTTCTTCATGGTTTTCCCTCTAGATTAATGTGGCATTCAAATCTCGACACCGATTTTTTGGTCGAAATTCATGTCCAAATTTTACCCCAAGATTCTTATATAGACATGGGTCAAAAATTACCACCCCCATATCTCGGTCAAATCTCATCCGATTTTCACGAAGTTTGGCTTTTTCTTCATGGTTTTCCCTCTAGATTAATGTGGCATTCAAATCTCGACACCGATTTTTTGGTCGAAATTCATGTCCAAATCTTACCCCAAGATTCGTATGTAGCCATGGGTCAAAAATTACCACCCCCATATCTCGGTCAAATCTCATCCGATTTTCACGAAGTTTGCATTTTTCTTCATGGTTTTCCCTCTAGATTAATGTGGCATTCAAATCTCGACACCGATTTTTTGGTCGAAATTCATGTCCAAATTTTACCCCAAGATTCTTATATAGACATGGGTCAAAAATTACCACCCCCATATCTCGGTCAAATCTCATCCGATTTTCACGAAGTTTGGCTTTTTCTTCATGGTTTTCCCTCTAGGTTAATGTGGCATTCAAATCTCGACACCGATTTTTTGGTCGAAATTCATGTCCAAATCTTACCCCAAGATTCGTATATTGACATGGGTCAAAAATTACCACCCCCATAACTCGGTCAAATCTCATCCGATTTTCACGAAGTTTGTCTGTTTCTTCATGGTTTTCCCTCTAGATTAATGTGGCATTCAAATCTCGACACCGATTTTTTGGTCGAAATTCATGTCCAAGTTTTACCCCAAGATTCTTATATAGACATGGGTCAAAAATTACCACCCCCATATCTCGGTCAAATCTCATCCGATTTTCACGAAGTTTGCATTTTTCTTCATGGTTTTCCCTCTAGATTAATGTGGCATTCAAATCTCGACACCGATTTTTTGGTCGAAATTCATGTCCAAATTTTACCCCAAGATTCTTATATAGACATGGGTCAAAAATTACCACCCCCATATCTCGGCCAAATCTCTTCAGATTTTCACGAAGCTTGGCTTTTTCTTCATGGTTTTCCCTCTAGATTAATCTGGCATTAAAATCTCGACATCGATTTTTTGGTCGAAATTCATGTCCAAATCTTACCCCAAGATTCGTATATAGACATGGTCAAAAATGACCACCCCCATAACTCCGTCAAATCTCATCCGATTTTCACGAAGTTTGGCTTTTTATTCATGGTTTTCCCTCTAGATTAATGTGGCATTCAAATCTCGACACCGATTTTGGTCGAAATTCATGTCCAAGTTTTACCCCAAGATTCTTATATAGACATGGTCAAAAATGACCACCCCCATAACTCGGTCAAATCTCATCCGATTTTCACGAAGTTTGCATTTTTCTTCATGGTTTTCCCTCTAGATTAATCTGACATTCAAATCTGAACATCGATTTTTTGGTCGAAATTCATGTCCAAATCTTACCCCACGATTCGTATATATACATGGGTCAAAAATTACCACCCCCATAACTCGGTCAAATCTCATCCAATTTTCACGAAGTTTGCATTTTTCTTCATGGTTTTCCCTCTAGATTAATCTGGCATTCAAATCTCGACACCGATTTTTTGGTCGAAATTCGTGTCCAAATCTTACCCCAAGATTCGTATGTAAACATGGGTCAAAAATTACCACCCCCATATCTCGGTCAAATCTCATCCGATTTTCACGAAGTTTGCATTTTTCTTCATGGTTTTCCCTCTAGATTAATCTGGCATTCAAATCTCGACACCGATTTTTTGGTCGAAATTCGTGTCCAAATCTTACCCCAAGATTCGTATGTAAACATGGGTCAAAAATTACCACCCCCATATCTCGGCCAAATCTCATCCGATTTTCACGAAGTTTGGCTTCTATACCCCGAACCCATTAAAAATGGAAGGGTATATTGTATTTGTATTTTTTTTACTATATGTAACAGGCAGAAGAAACAACTCCGACCCCATAAAGAATATATATTTTGATCAGCATAAATAGCTGAGCCGATCTAGCCATGTCCGTTTGTCTGTCCGTCCGTCCGTCCGTCCCTATGTATGAACGCAAGGATCTCAGAACCTATAAGAGCTAGAGACTTGAAATTTTAGATGTAGATTCTGCTAGCTCCCGCGCAAATCGAGTTTGTTTCCGATAATCGATAACTTACTTAGTTTCCAAGCAATCGATAAAAATCGATATCGATATCCTGTTTTTTTAGCAATTTTGGTAAATAATAAGAACTAGAGTCACCATATAGCTTATAAAATGGAATATATATATGCATTTGATGTTGGAAGAAGAGGGTTCAGGGTATCCCCTAATCGGGAGCTCCCGACTAGAACCTCTTACTTGTTTTAATTGTTTTCCTATTTTACCTTATGTCTAGAAGTACTTACTAGCTTATGCCCTTATACAGGGGAATGTTTCTGTAACAAAAAACTAACTTCGTCATCTGACCAAGTCTCTATTTATTATCAGAATGTCAGAGGTCTCATTTCCAAAACTTAAAAATCCTTTTATGGCTAGCACTTCCTTTGATTCGGACATAATCTCATTAGGAATTAGGCTTTTACTTAATAATAAACATAAATACAAGTATATCGATACCACAATATTACCATTAAATGTAGAAATGCTAGATTTAAGCTCATCGATATAGATCCTCGAGCCATCGATAGCCTTGAAGCAGAACTTCCATCTCTATCTAATCGCTTATCAAAAATAGCGCGCGTATTCGGATCAACAATAAAATACATCATTTATTTTATGTATAATCAAACTTATAACAGTGCTCGTTTAGATTTGAGCTTTGATGTTGCTCGTTGATTGAAACAAAGCTGCACAATTACGAATTAAGACTTCACCAATTTCACATTTCCCTTTGTTGAATTGAACCAACGATTTGAGTACCAGTTGCTAGCAAATGTATTCATTTCACTTCCATTTCGTATACCCTACTTTTTTCAATTTTATTGAGCCAAGCCATCAAGCGCTTCCTAAAAACAAACGAAAGAATTAGTTGATACGGAAAGAAACTTGCCACGTGCCGGAGCGAGTCTATTTACCGGCTGCGTGCGCTTCTCCATGCACCCAAATGTGTACCAATGCTCGTCATTGCCAAGCTTCTCGCCATCCTCCAGTGAACAGGGCAGAGTGCGATTCATTGTCTCCGGCAGCAGCAAGAACAAGCAGGCACCTAGCAATGTGAGCACGCCCAGAATGATTTCTGGCAATGACAAGAAGTCTGCAGACGTGTTCAATATGTATTTTACGCATATTATGTACATAAGGTCTACATCATGGATAGCACCCAATGCCTGGCCACGCACACATGTTGGAATCAGCTCCATGGCATACTGCATATTTGACTGGAAGGCAAGGTTGCAAAGAAAGCTCCCAATTACGAAAAAAGTGAATAGTACTGTGGGGACAGAAAGTAGACATAGTTAGAATTGTGGGCAAGTATTCTAAGCGAAACTACGCAAAAGATTTTAGAACAAAATTGTTTGTTTTTAAGTTGCTAACATATATTTTTTACTCATTGTCTAGAAGTAGAAGCAGGTATTATAATTTTATACTTTTTCATAAAACACAAATATCTTCTTTATTCCAGTCCAGCTTTAAATATTAGTTTTCACTTACATACCGATTAAGCTATGTACTGTGACTAACCATACAACATACAAATGTTCGAAGTAAATGTTACCCAGAGATATGGATGATTTTGTATTATTAATATAAAAAACTGTTTGCAACTTTATAAATGCTCGAAGCTTGTGCAGTTAATAAAGAAAAATTGTAATATATACCTAATTAATTTTCAAATCGGTGAAAAACGAAAAATAATAAAAATTTAAATACTTTATTCAACTATTGGAACCTGTTCTTCAGCACAAACAACACAAGTATATATAGTTAAATAAATAAGACTTACAGCGATTAGCAGCGTGTGAAAGGAAGACGCCCGATAGCAAGAGGAAAAGGACAATAAGGAGCCGTATTGTCAAAGCCAACGCCTTGCGTCCTATGCGATCTTGCAGGATAATTACTACCAAGCAAGCAGGCAGAATAGGAGCTGTGCGCAATGAGGACATTACAAATGGCGAAATCTTAAAGCCACGCACATAATAAACGATGAGTTTACAGTAGTAGGGAAGTACCATGCTATGTTGATGAGCGAATGAGGGCGTAGAAACAGCAGATTGATACACATTAGCAAGTTCATTCGATCAGATTTCTACTCACAATTCAAACAACAATATTAAATAGGTGCGGCGTAGGTGCGGCGTCCTGAAGAGGTCAAGCAGATTTGGGTTGTTCTTCGCATTTTGCTGGCTTAATTTGCAGTCATCAATGAATTCTTTAAAGACGTTGTCATCAATTTGGCGGCCATTTATCTTGGCCACACGCCTTAGGGCGGCTATAGCCTGGCCATATTTCTTCCTTGAGATCAGCCATTGTACGCTCTCCGGTACAAAATAAAAGAAAATCGGCACCATAATTATTGACACCATTTCGAGAAGCATGAAACGACGCCAAGTACCCAAGAGGATTGCTATCCAAGGTGTGCTTACCATGCCCAAAAATAAAAAGAAACCGAAGCAGATGTTCAGGCAAACGGTGCGCAAAGAAGGACGCATATATTCCACAACTGCGAAACGATTGTCGATTAAAATATACGATTTCTAATGCAGTAATTGTTGTACTCACTTAGAATGCGAACAATAAAAAAGTTGCTGTTAATTACGAAGCCGGTAATAAATCGAAATATACAATAAAGTGCCAGACTCATCCCAAAGATTGTCAAAAAGTTGCCGAATATGGTGATAACCTTGGCCAAAACAAGAATGGGCACCCGACCCAGTCTATCAGCCAAATAGCCCATAACTAGACAACCAATCAAGCAACCCGCAAAGTACACTGAGTCTCCCTTACTAAGTTTATCCTCTTGATCACATATCCAGTTCATTTCACTGACGAAACTCTGATAACCCATATAATGCTCATAGTTGTACTTTTTGCAGGAGCTTGAGTGTGTTGAATTATTGTACAGTGGTTTGCAGTTGGATTCACTTGGCGGTGGTGCCCCCGAGTCCAGCCCATCAGCACACCTGGGTGTTATGGACAGACGTTAAGCATATGCCATATTATTAATATTCTTATAAATACTAGAGCCCTGCGTCGGTAAATTCATGTGAATCAGGCTCGGATACTCAATTGGCAACATACGCACAACAAAACTATCAGCTCGAACACAACCGATAAAATGGAGTTTAATGTGATCTATAACAGCTTAAGGTATTTGTTTGATTTTGTTTTATTATCAGTCGAATTGACCGACACAAATTTTTTTTTGCAACTCCAACAGATCGAGCCGACAAAGTATGAGTCGGATATCCGAAACGTGTTTCGATGGTCTCGATGCAGGGCTCTATTACATACCAATACTTTGGCACAGTATTAAGGATCGAGTATGATCGGAAATGCATGGCTGATAGCAGATTGATCAAAGGACAGAGTAACAGCAAGATTAGCTGCTGCCGACTAAAATCACCGCATTTTTCCAACATTTTGTCTACTTCCAACATTGTGTTATTTACATATATTCCAAGCACGTGGTGCATTTAATTCACCATACACCTCGTCCAGAATAGAGAGTTCCCGGAACTTGTTTTTTATTTAGCCAGTGCCCTCAATGTACCCCTGCACTTGTAGCATTTGCATCGCATCTTCCAATTTCATGAAAAAAACAAATATATCAATTTAGATTTTAAAGACAAATGACAGTGTTTGCGTAATGCTAGTAAAATTAGATAGAAAAATATCAAATGTATTACCAATCACTTGCGTTTAACAGGATTTTGGAAGTCATGTTCTTCTGACTAAAGCTTGCGGATGGGGCTCTTCTCACTCTCATACTACAGGCTCATACTACATAATACTAGAGGTGATGGTTCTACCCTGTTCTGTATGCACCTATCTCCGATCAGGTCACTTTACGAGCGCTATATTGATAATCATTCGGAAAATTCCCTTCCCAGCAAAAATCCCCATCAGCTCTTTTACTCGAGAGACAAACTGATTACAGTTCAATGCACAATGCATCGATCGAAAATATCGACAGTTATTCAATTCAATTAACAATTCAAGGATGAAAGCAATATACTAAATAGCGCTGAGATCGTTACTAAATACCATATATTAACTTGTAGATCGAACATCTCTCCGCCTTGGAAGCTCCTTCCAAAGCACCATCTATTGTTGACTCCAGGGGCAAGGGGCAGATGCTATGCACATTCCGCTTGAGAAACCCCGTCTTGGTCTTGATGTAGTGGTGTAGTGACTACGCACTGCGCCATCGCATCCGGGATGTAATTCTGAGAAGACGCAAAAACCTCTCCATTTATTCACGACATGTCATGTCTCAACATAGATTTTTATTATTAAATCAGGAAACTTTTGAAATTATGTATGGAGTGAATTCTTGGGAAGCATGCAAGCTGCTAAGATTATTTTAATTGGTAATCTGTTTGTTAAGCAAATCTAACTATAATTGACCATATAAATACATTGTTTGTAGACTAAAACTAACCTAGAGAGCGACTTTGATGATCATTTTTAATGCGTTTTGAAATTGCCTGACATAGTAACATATAATATCATTCATGATAACCACCTATTAAGACTTATTGAATTCTTTGTCCTGGTCGGAGATGTGTGGGTACAGAACAGTGTAAAGCCAACACCTTTAGTATATATGTAGCATAAGAGTGAGAAACACCCTTACCCCATCCACGACAGGTTGTAGTCAGAAGAACACGAACCCCAATTTATGTTCTTTTATATTATTTTACAAGCATTACGACGCACTGACAGTTCTCTGTTAAATTTGTCAAACCAAAATTATTAAATTTCTTTTCCATAAAAGCTAACGAGAAGCGAGTTTTGGGAACTCTCTATTCTGGACAGAGGTGTATGGTGAATTGAATATGACGTAAATGACATATATGTAAACAAAACAATGTTGGAAGTGGACGAAGTATTGGAAAAATTCGGTTATTTCAGTCGGCAGCAGGGAATCATGCTATTACTCTGTTCTCTGATCAATCTACTATCATCCATGCATATTCTTTCGAACCCGTTAATTAATTTCGTACCAAAGTATTGGTATGTAATAGAGCCCTGCATTGAGTAAACCAAAACCTATTTCGATAACCGACTAAAATTTTACTGGCTCGATCTGTTTGAGATGCAGTAGATAGTAGTAGTAGTATGTGTCGGTCAACTCGACCGAAAATTCGGCCCAATCAAACAATTAGCTCGATATATTCTAGTTCACATCAAAATCAATTGTTTCAGTTATGTTCGAACTAATAGCTTTATTGTGCGTATGTTTGAATCAAGTATATTTAAATATTGCTTAGCTCAGTAGTATTCATAGGAATATTATTAACATGGCGTATACTTAACGTCTGTCAATAACACCCAGGTGTGCTGATGGGCTGGACCCGGGGGCACCACCGCCAAATGAATCTAGCTGCAAACCACTGTACAATAATTCAACCAACTCTGGTACCTGCAATAAATACAACTATGAGGTTCACATGGGCTTTCAGAGTTTCGTCAGTGAAATGAACTGGATATGTGATGAAGCGTGGAAACTTAGGAAGGGAAACTCCTATTTCCTGGCGGGCCGCTTGATAGGCAGTCTATTTATGGGCTATTTGGCAGATATACTGGGTCGGGTGCCCATTGTTGTTTTGACCAATGTCATTGCCATATTCGGCAACTTTTTGACAATCTTTGACATGAATGTGGACCTTTTTTGTATATTTCGATTTATATGCGGCTTCGTCCTAAACAGCAACTTTGCGTTAATTCGCATTCTAAGTGAGCAAATCACAATCACAGCATTAGAGAAAGTTTAATTTAATCGACAATCATTTCGCAGTTGTGGAATATATGCGTCCTTCTTTGCGCACCGTTTGCCTGAACATTTGTGTCGATTTCATTTCTTATTTGGGCATAATAAGCACCATTTGGATAGTGGTCCTCGTAGGTAATTGGCGTCGTTTCATGCTTCTCGACTCGCTTCCAATATTTGTGATGCCGATTTTCTTTTATTTTGTACCGGAGAGCGTACAATGGCTGATCTCAAGGAAGAAATATGGCCAGGCTATAGCCGCCCTAAGGCGTGTGGCCAAGATAAATGGCCGTCAAATTGATGACAACCTCTTTAAAGAATTCATTGATGACTGCAAATTAAGCCAGCAAAATACGAAGAACACCCCAAATCTGCTGCACCTCCTCAGGACGCCACGCCTACGCCGCACCTTTTTAATAATGTTGCTTGAAGTGTGAGTAGATCGAATGAACTTGCCAATATGCACCAATCTGTTTTCTCATTCGCCCATCTACATAGCATGATCATTTTACTCTTCAACAAACTTGTCATGTATCATATTCGTCACCTTAAGATTTCGCCATTTGTTAGGAGCTCACTTCTTATAACTTCTATTCTGCCTGCTTGCTTGGCAATAATTATCCTGCAAGATCGCATAGGACGCAAGGCGTTGGCTTTGACAATACGGCTCCTTATTGTCCTTTTCCTCTTGCTATCGTGCGTCCTCCTCTCTCCCGCTGCTAGTCACTGTAAGTCTTGTCTATTTTTATACCCTGAACCCATTAAAAATAAGTTTAATGGTATATTGTAGTGGTGCGAAAGCCAAATGTATGTAACAGGCAGAAGGACGCATCTCCGCCCCATAAAGTACATATATTCTTGATCAGCATCAATAGCCGAGTCGATCTAGCCATGTCCGTCGGTCTGTCCGTCCGTCCGTCCGTCCGTCCGTATGTATGAACGCAAGGATCTCAGAACCTATAAGAGCTAGAGAAATTTTTGAAATTTTTTGAAAATTTGAAATTTTAGATGTAGGTGCTCCTTGTTCCCGCGCAGATCAAGTTTGTTTCCGATAATCGATAACTTACTCCGTTTCCAAGCAATCAATAAAAATCGATATCGATATCCTATTTTTTTGGGCAATTTTGGTAAATAATAAGAGCTGGAGTCACTAAACTTGACATATAGCTTCTAAAATATAATATATCCCCTGTATCCCCTAGTCGGGAGCACCCGACTAGAACCTATCACTTGTTTAAATTTATTTTTGTAGAAAAGCGCGAAGCGCGAGCTGCATTTGGTGTTCGAATAAAAGGGTTCAGGGTATTCCCTAGTCGGGAGCTCCCGACTAGAACCCCTTACTTCTTTTATTTAGTTTCGCCTGCAACACCTGCCCACAATGAAAACTATGCCTTCTTTCTGTATTCTCGCCCACAGCAACCCCATTACTGTTGTCGATTTTCGTAATTGGGAACATTTTTTCTGACCTTGCCTTCTACTCAAATATACAGTACACCTTGGAGCTGATTCCAACATGTGTGCGGAGCCAGACAGTGGGTTCTATCTATGCCATAAGCTATGTGCTCGACATATTCACATATTACTTTTTGAACATGCGTGAAGTCTTCTTGCTGCTGCCGGAAATCATTCTGGCAATAATAGCATTTCTGGGAGCCTGTCTTTGTTTGCTGCTGCCGGAGACACTGAATCGCACGCTGCCCAGTTCACTGGAGGATGGCGATAAGCTTGGCAATGACGAGCATTGGTACACATTTGGGTGCACGCAGCCGGTAAATAGACTCGCCTCGCTTTCTTTCCGTATCAACTAATTCTATCGTTTATTTTAAGGAACAGCTTGAAAACTCCTTGGAAGAATAAAATGGGATATATTGAAGTAGGGTTCCGATCGCTCATATATGTATCATATGTAAACGAAGAAATATATACGAAATAGAAAACGAATTTATTTGCTAGCAACTGCCTCTGAAATGCTCAGAAGCCCTTATCGTTTAGTACCCAAAACGAATCAATCAATCAATTGAACGAAATGAATTGGAACAAGTAAGATCCCGACTGGGCGATACCCTGAACCCTCTTCTTCCAACATCAAATGCTTTATAAAGTTCGTCCATATAAACTCACTATTATAAGATTTGTATATAATCTATACATCATTTATTGCTAGTAATATGTGAAATAGTGTTCAAGTTATCTTAAGATACTTCCAAAAAGAAAATGCATGAATTCGAATGAAATGTTTTTCAAATTGAGATTTAAATATCCCTTATCCGTTGTTTATTAAATTGAGTTTTAAATATTAGTTGTCTTTCCAATAGATATGATTTCCAATCAAGAAATTAATGCTTTGAAATTGATGAGAAAGTTAATAAGACTTCATAACATATCGCATTGAGCCCATGGTATAAGCCATTAAAACCTTGCCAACCAATTTGGCGTGCTGTAAAAAACGTTTGTAGTTTGTGTAATATGATATTTTAATGGACATGTCTAACCATTTTTGCCAGTTAATTAAAATCCCTAATGCGGTTTACCTTGGCCTTTTTCGAACAGAAAAGGGGTTGGAACGCCGCCTCGGCCACACCCTGATCCGAAGGCTCTTCCACGCACAATCAAATCATTTCGCAAATTCAATTTGCCAAAAGAATAAAAAACGAAAAGAAAATGTGAGTTTCGAAAGTAAATGGAAATTCAAAAATGGAAAATCCAGTCAGAGGCGCATTCCTGCAAGTTCTCCTTTAAGGATTTCGTGTCCTTCGTGAAGTGCGAATGCCTGCTATCAAGTGTCACACTTATGTCTGACCTTTGCAAATTCAATTTGTCGCCTTTTTATCCATAAACATTTTTCTATTAGACTCGACGAGGGCGCATTTTTTTTTTTCAATTTTCCTTGGCCTAAACTTTGGAATAGCTTAGTACTCAGGGATTATACCTATTAGATGGAAAATAGAGAGTCGCTACTTTTCATCATATGTATTTGATGGACTGCGCAAATACTTCACACTTGCCAAGCAGTCGCGATAAGATGATTTTTTGTGGGATCTTAAGCTTATTTTATGATTTTGGTGACGTCATCAGATTGTTCTAGCTTATTGACAAACATTATAAATATCAGTACATTACACTACAATGATGCCTAGGAGCAGGAGTAGCTCAATGTTTCTGGTTCAACTGAATAACAAGAAGAGACTGCTCGCAGACAATGCTGCTGACAAGGCGTTTAGAGTGTGTTGACATTAATTTAATTACAAAAATTGTAAAATATATATATATATATATATGTATGAATAAATAGAGCTGTGTTAAGGGCGAATTCTATACACCTGGTTTCACTGCAACATTGCCTGCGATAGAGCTCCACGGTCTGGAGCACTCATGTGTGTATCTGTGACATGCTATCACACGCAATCAAATTGAATCAATCAAAATCGATTTTACTGGCTACAAAGTCGGCTGCAAATTCAATTTGAGCAGGAATATGAATAAAAATTCAAATGGAAAATGGAAAATGTGGGCCCATGCTTAGACTAACTGCATGGCTGGCGTCAGTTGGCAATTTTGAGTTGCTTTGTTGGCTCCTTGGCCCCCAAGAAACTTTCGTAATTAAAAAGGCGTTGAGTTAAGCAATTAAACACACGAACTTGGCGAGAAAGCTCGAGGACTTGAGAGTAATTCACTAAAATAACGCAATGTTGCGTAATTCAGTTTCACAGTTTTGTAATTAAACGCATTTGCATAAGAATTATAGTCGACGATACGAAACGCCGCAGGCATACTTCCATGCGACTCTAATTAAAACTAGCCCCTGAAAATTAAAGCATAAAAGGAAAAAACTAAAAAACATTCTATCCCCCACCGACAATAGAGTGCGGCGGACATGCGGCTCCTCAACCATTAAAGGTCATCAAACGTTGCCAACTGGCAAAATGCCAGCGATTCGACGGGTCTGGCAATATCGTTTTGTTCTCCGCATGCCCCACAGGAAGTTTCCAATGTCCGGCAGAGCATACGACGACAACTTGGACAAGCCGTAAGCCAAGTGGAAGAGAAGCTTTAAGAATTTTAAAATATACTAATATGCAGTGCATAAAAATATCTTTTCTTTAGATTAGCTTAGATAATATAATACTTAAGTCGCCTCAGTATTATTAGTGGAACTAATAAAAATTACCAACGTTTGCATCTAAAGCTGTATTCATGGATGTGGATTACCAGGTCATAAGCAGAACCTCCGACAGTCCCTATATAAAGTGAGGCATCAGAGGATGTGCCTCACCACAAAGAAGAATGTAAGAATGTAGTAAGAGGCTGTCGTCGGGATTACCGACTAGGGGATACCCCACCGACCAAATTAACTATCAACGCCTCTACTCGAGAGCCATAACAATGGTTAATCTCACATAAAAAAACAAAAACATTTTAAAATAGCAACAGCAAAGAATACAATCGCTAAAGCATACATCTTTAAACAGCTAATAATATGGGGATTGGTTAAAGAATATATAATTTTGTTAAGGAGAGAAGCTACTGACAAAGTGATATTTAAAATAACGATTAGATTAGTCTACCCTCATCTGATTGACTAACTCATCTATTTAAGCTGGCCCCTCGTTGAAGCTGTCTTGATGAAATTTGGTACACCTGCTTCTTTCTATTTCTAAAAAAAAAATTTCTCAGTAATCCTACTTTTTTAAGATCTTTTTATATGATTTCAGAACTAGATGCATATCATATATAATAAAGGCAGTTTATTTCGCATATTCGGTTTATTGAAAAACGAATCAGCTCTAATAATCAAATACGCAATGAGGCAAACATCACGATGGTATCACAGTAATATGCTCGGCACTTGCTTCATTGGATTTGCCAGCACGCATGCTTAGCTAATCTTTGAATCAATGATCTGCCGCAAATAAACATATCGTAAATGGGTTTTTGCAAACATCATATGAGCCTAATTAAGAGCCCATTACCCACCCTCTGTGTAAATAGATACGTAGCTAAAAAAAAAAAAAAATAAATAAATAAAAACCGCAAGTCAAGCAACCACCCCATTGGCTAAGGGTGGCACACAACGTGTTGCGTTTGCTTTGGCAATCCGGGCCCGGGCCCGGGGCCGGAGCCGGAGCCGGAGCCGGGGCCGGGGCCGGGGCTAGTTGTGGTTTTGATAGCCGAGCGTGTAATTTGACACTTGAGCCATGTGCAGAAGCGACGGCAACCTGTGCAATTAGCCCTAATAATTCAACCTGGTTGCTGGCATGCAAATGAGTGAAAAATGTTGCCACCAAGGCATAATTACAGTGCAGCATCCCGAAGTGTCAACGGCAGGCTGGCAAGGATCAAGACGTAGCGCCATCAAGAGGCTAAAACGTCTTACAAGGGCCACAGCTATTTTAATGAGATATTGCTGTCTTGACAAACTGACAATTAGCCGTTGCCAAAGGAAACCACAAAGCGTACCTTCTCGTTAACCTGTCACGGAAAAGCAGGGAAAAAAATTATGCAAGGTGAAAAAATGTTTGAAAGAGCTAAAAACTTAATGGTCTACTTTTTTTATACCCTTGCAGAGGGTATTATAATTAAGTCTCGAAATGTGTAACGCATAGAAGGAGACACCTCCGACCCTATAAAGTATATATATTCTTGATCAGTATCAACAGCCGAGTCGATATAGCCATGTCCTGCTGTCCTTCTGTCTGTTTCTATGCGAACTAGTCCCTCCGTTTTAAAGCGTTCGTCATGAAACTTTCCATAAGTCCCTCTTTCTGTTGCACGCAGTGCATTTGTCGGAATCGAACCACTATATCATATATCTAGTAACGATCGGTCAAAAATTAGGTTCTTGTATACACTTTGTTTTTTTCAGGATATTTTAACCATACTTGGCATTTACTAATTTCCCTGTGCTTCTCTGATACGGGCAAAGCATTATGAGTACTATGAAAAGGTAGGCTGTGCAAGGGTATTATATCTTCTGTATATCCTGTTCAACAAATATGTATTATTGCAAAAAAGTACTTAAGGACAAGAACGACATTTCGTTTCATATAAAGTTGATATCTATATGTTTTTCACACTGAAAAGTTACTCCCTATTCGCCCGTTATTACGATCTCTTTGATCTTAGAGCCTAGAGAATATTTTGTAAATTTGCACACGATCCTCGATAAAAAACTCAAAAAAATAAGGAATTTTAATATATTAGTGCTATCCGAGGGTATTTTAATTTGCTCACGATATATACAATGCAAATGTAAGTCCGGCCCCATAAAGTATATATATTCTTGATCAGCATCAAAAGCTAAGTCGATATGGCCATGTCTGTCTGTTTGTCTGTCCATCTGTCTGTATGTATGAACGCGTCGATCTCAGAATCTATAAGAGCGCGAGCTTGTTCTCGATAATCGAATGCTTGCCCCGTTTCCAAAACAATTTATAAAAAATTCATATCGAAATCCTGTTCTTAAGCAAATCTCTTAGGATTTTAGGATTTTAGTCGCCAAATTTGACATATAGCTTTAACTATATTATCAAGTATACTTTATTTGTAGTTAACTTTTTTATTTACTGACAACTGTTTCAGGTCCTCTTTTTTATCGAACGCGTTTTCCAGCTTGGCTGCAAACTCTGCAAGCTTTTGAGAGCGTAAATAATCGTTGTATTAAAATAAATATACCCTTGTTTCTGAACACCTTTTATAGCTGAGCAGCTAAAGTGCGAGCTCTTCAGGCCTTTTATGGACAACTTGTTTTATTATGAACAATTTGTTAAATTTAGCTAATGGCTCTGAGAGACATTCATATATCACTTACAGGGCATCTGCTAGTCGTGCACTGCACAACTTAAGTCAACTTATTTGCATAAATTCTCTTTTTTCCATGGGGCGCGACCTCTTAATTTGATTATGAGCTGCACAAAAAGTTCATAATTACATTCCTGTTTGTTAGACGTCCTTATCTACGAGCTGCGCAGTCGACGACGACTTTGGCAGCGACTGCAGCGACATTGAAGCTGGCCGGCAGCGCGAGAAGCTTAATTAATTAGGTTTCTAGAATATTTGACAGAATTATTTTAAGGCACAACTCGAATTAAAGCTCACATCTTTAAAGGACAACTGGGCGGGCGCCATTTTGAAATTGCATTGCCCACATGCGCAGGAAGTGCCATTAAAAAGTAAACGGAAAACGAATGAATAAAAGGACAGTACAAAAATAATCCTTTGATTCATAAAATGTCTACACAAGCCTGACGAGCAAAAGAAGGAAAATGTGTGCGGCAGCAGCAACAATAACAACGCGCAACAAAAGGCTGCTTCCGGTTGGGACTACACCCCCCACCCTCCCCCTCCCCTCTCTCGACGACCCATTCCACCACACACCCCCCACTTCCTCTCGGATGTTTGAAACTCCAATGCATTGCATTGAAATTCTTCATTTGCAATTCAATAAAATTCCGTTCATGCTGTGCGACAAATCCGTTGGCCGTCAGGGGGCGTGCCATGCTAGCGCTTTGTCCAATCAGCGTTGCGGCGCAACAGATGCCCAGCGCTTGCAGCGCCCTCTGGCGTCCAAAGTGCAAGAAAAACAAACCAAAGCAAGCCGCTTTGCTCTCTAGGCTTGTAGGCGTGGCAGCGCATGCGCCCATCCACATGTGAAGAGTAGCTGCACGGGCCGGGGGTGGACTGTCCTGATATGCATAGCGAGCGAATCCAATGCCAGCTATTGGGCATTCCACAGCTGTGTGCGAGCGAGACCGCCTCAATTCAGCCAGATGCCCATGTCGCAGCCTGCCGAGTGGGTGGTTGGGTGTTTGGTGGTGGTAGCTGGGTGTTCGCTTGGCCTGGCTTGTGCTGGCTTTCATTGGCTTCGCATTCAAACCCAATTTTGCTCGCAACTGGCATTGCGACAGGTGACCCAAAGGCCTCACACGTCCTCGCTGCGCAACCAATATTTCAGTTCAGTTCGACGGGTGCGACGAGCAGGTTGCGTGCAACGGTAAATGTCAATCCGTGTGCGTTTCTCAAGTCAGCATTTCCATATACTATAAAGTGCATATGTGCAGTGTTTTGCTTTAAGGCATTTAATTTACATATTAATTAAAAGAGAAAAATAAATGAAAAATAAACTTTATCGTGGGTGGAAACAATTAAAAAGAAAATTTAAACACATAATTATTAAAAAAAATAATCATTACTAATACTAAAATCAGTGCTTAAAAGCAACAAATAATTTGAAAAAAATCAAATCAATATTTAAAATAGAAAACTTAACTGTGCTTGTTTCTGAAAAAAAAAAAAATTAAAAAAAACATAGCCAAATTTATCCTTAATAAAAAAAAAAAACGAATATTTAATATAATACAAAAGTTGTTGCTCTGCTTAAAATCACCTATACAGAGCATTATACAAAACAAACAATTTTAATAAATGTTATAAGAATATATATTAAATATTGTGTAAAAGGTATTTTCCTACATACAATATCAGTATTATATGAAGTTAGGTACTTGTTTACGCAGTTGCCATTAGATATGCCATCTGTGTGACCTACTCTCTAAGGCTTCAAGTCACAGGCTAAAACCTATTCCATTTAAAAAGAAACCTGATAGATGGCAACACTTATAAAACATTATAACCCTTTCAACACTCAAGAGATATATATTTTTAAAGACAAACGCAAAGGCGTATTCAGTTCTCAACAAATTTTATATTATTTGCGACTTGGGATTCGACCCAGCATCCTTCTTCTTTAGTGGTTCACAGCGTCCTTATACGACTAGCCTGTGATTCGAACCAGCATCCTTCTTCTTTAGTGGTTCACAGCGTCCTTATACGACCAGCCTGTGATTCGAACCAGCATCCTTCCTGTTCAGTGGTTCAAAGAGTTTTTTAGTTAGTGTTAATTTCAAGCCAGAAATTTTATGAACTTCTAAACAAACATTTAAAAAGGGCGAAAAAGTGATTGAAAATTACTTTTTTCGATTGAAGAGCATTTGAATAAAATAATTTTAACTTTTTTATGCATTTGAGAAGCGTTTCTTAGATTGATTTCAAATTATTTTACAGTAAAACTATAAAAATATAAAAGAAAATATTTGGATAACCAAAAGAATCTGTTGAACATTAAAGTAACTCGCCAGCTTAATCAGGAAATAAATAAATCGAACGCAAAAGGTGCTGCGAACTGTACCGTAAAACATGCTGAACATGAACCAACTGAGCCAGGCTGCTTCCGTCCTGCCACACCCACAAGCACATTACGCCGATTGCCGCCCATTGCCGGCAATCAACGAGACATTTGCGCAATTTAGCCAACATCGTTTGGCAATCTCGGTGCTCTCCCCATTGGATCTATCGCTGCGCGCGGCGCCAAATATGGTGCCAATTACGCCGCCATCGACGCCCTCGCCGCCGCGCAAGCGGCAGAGATTAATGTCCGAGGAGAATTACCTGTGGCGGCCGCATGCTGCGCTGGTGATGCAGCAGCCACCAGCAACGGCCACCGGCTATTTCCAGCAGCAGCAGGAATTGGGTGGCAGCTGCTACGGCTTGCGCGGCTTTGAGGGAGCGGCGAGCTGTGACAAAAGTAATTTTCACGGAAAAAGTAACTTTGCGCACATTCCGGCAAGTCAATCGAGCGTGTCCAGGACAGCAGCAACAGCCGCAACAGCAGCAGCCAGCGCGGAGGATGAGACAATTGTATTGACCGAGGACGAGGATGAAACAGTTGTCAGTTCCCATGACTACAATGAGTACGCGACGGACACTGAGGGCGACGGCGACGAGGAGGATGAGCCTATACAAGTCCACGACGTTGATGTGCCACAGGAGCAGCGGCAGGCGCAGCAGAAGAAGGATGAGGAGGAGGACGAAGAGGAGGAGGAAGAGGTATTCGTAGACATACTGGGCAACGATGATGATGATGACGATGTTGTGGAACTGGCAACACAACAAAGCCCCGCACAGCAGCTGGAGGCCAAGGCGCTGAAGCGCCATGAGCTGATCTATGAGGATGAGGAGCTGCACCATCAAGCTGTCAGTGGTCTGGCCAAGCTCTTTGAACGTGACTTTGGCTCGTCGTCCAAGGAATGCCTCGAACTGGAAGCAGAGGCTGCAGCAGCCGCCGTCGAGGAGCAGCCGGAAAAAGTTTATACGGACTTGAGTGGTGGCGGCGGCGTCGGAAGCGGCGGCAATGCGGAGCCCCCAAATCCCACTCAAGTGTCAGCACCAGCTCAAACCACGCTGTTGCGCAAACACAAGCCAGAGCGTAGACGCACCAAGTTGCGCAAACACGCAGCCATCGATGAGGAGACAATTAGTCCCGTCTCCGGCACCATAATACGCAAGCTGCGCGATGATGAGGAGCTCGTTGTGCGCAAAGGTGACATTGATCCGGCTTTCAATGTGGTCGAAATCACCGAAGAGGCCAAAGCCATCTTGGCCAGCATCGAAAATAAGATTGGCGACTATATGTGTCAGCTTTGTCGCACCGTCTACGATGATGCCTTCATGCTCGCCCAGCATCGTTGTCCACGCATCGTGCACATCGAGTACAAGTGCTCCGAGTGTGAAAAGGTCCGATTTGCTATCCTACTCTATAATACCAAGCTTTGTATTAATCTTGCAAAATATATGTTTAAGCAAGTTTATCAGTTAGAAAGTGTTGAGCATATATGAAGCTTTGAAACTTGATTTAAAGCTCTAAAAGCTGCGAAGAACCCTTTGAGCTTTAAGTAAGATTTCTTTATCTCTTCAAGCTGATTTCTGAACTTTCAGCTTTAAGTCAGATTTATCGTGTACACTAAATAAAGCTGACGTGCAGCTCTAAAAGCTTTATTCATTTTCTTTTTTTTTAAGCATAGACTGTGTTTAATTTGAATGGAATATTACATATTGGGAATTTAGCATAGTTTTATTTTAAGAAGCTATGGGCATAAAGAAAATTCCTACATACTCTTAAGTTCCTTTCATACTACATAAGACGCTTGATTTGATCCTGTGCTACATCTGAAATATATAACTATATTTCAAGCTGTTGAATAAGCTGTCCGTTTAAAATGATTTTTATTAAATACTATAGCAGTAGAAGACTTTTAATAATTGCAATAAGATATGAGGAGCATAACAAAGTTTCTAAAAAGCTTCAGACGCGCTTAAGGCTTAAAAATTAAACATACTTGTTAATTGATTAAAGCTCTAAAAGCTACATCTGAAAAATTGTAAGGTTAAATGAGCTTTCAGCTTCATATTTTAAAGCTTTGAGCCTTCTGTAATATTGAACACAATTATTTACCCAAGTTATTTCAATAGTACTATTTCTAAATAATTCCTATAAAACCAGCATTACATTTCTATACAACTGTAAATGATCATAGCTCGGTTAAATTACATATGTAATTATGTACACGCACAAGTCTAGAAATTAAATTAGAGTCAATTTGATTTCAGATCAAACCCCATTTTATTAGAAATTCTGATATGAGTTCCTACCTTTTTACGGAAATTTAATTGCACAATAGCTAAAATTTCTAAACTACGCAGCACTGTTTTGCAAAGCTGCTAAAACTGGTGTTGGAAAACATGTTGGAGTAAAGTTCATTGTATCTGGAAGATATTATTTTTTTCCTATCAAATAAATATTAGAGCTTGTGTATGTAGGCTAATTTAGTGCTATCTTATTTGCACAACTACACAATACTTAATCTTAATCTTAATCTGAGCAGTATTACTATGTTAAGCTTAATCCAAAGCTTAGGTGTTATTTTCAGCTGGTGTCATTGGCACTTATTTGCTTTAACTTCAGCTAATTAAAGCCCTAATTCGCAGGTCTTCAATTGTCCGGCAAACTTGGCTTCGCATCGTCGCTGGCACAAGCCCAAGTCGGAGATGCAGCCCGGCAAAAAGCGGTCAAGCGGTGGCGCCAGCGAATCTGCCACCGGCAGCAGCGGCGCCAGCGGCAGTGTTGGCACAGCTGAGACTGGCCACAAGGCGACGGCTGGCGAGGAAGCCAGCGATGGCATTTATCCCTGCCAGCAATGCGGAAAATCCTTTCGACGGTAAGCGGCAACGGGCTTCGTTTGAATTGATTATACATGCCACGCCCTTTACAGCTACGCCTATCTGAAGAAGCATCAGGCCTCGCATCAAATGATGGATAATCTCAAGAATATGGAGCTCTTTAATGCGCATCAGCATCAGCAGCAGCAGCAGCAACTGCATCAGCATCAGCAGCAGCAGCAGCAGCAACATTTGCCCGCACAGCCCGCCGCTGCGGCTGCACCTTATGTGCTGCCACGCCCTCCGCATTGCGCCCTGTATCCAACGGCCACGTCCAAGGGTTATGCAAGCGGTAGCCAGCGCTTTGGCGGCTTCCCCTTTCAGTCATTCGACCAGCGGCGCTTCTACTCGCTCGGCGAACTGTATCTCAGCCAGCAGCTGGAGCGCTCCTCGGCCTTTCAGTACGTCCATGCGAATCATCTGAGGCAGTTGTCGAATGTCGCCCACAATATGCTGCCCCCGCTGCCGGTCAAATGACCCAGCACCCATGTGCTGCGTCCTGTGCCGCGCATTGCGTCCACATCGACGTCCACGTCAACAGCAATGGCAACGGCAGCAGCAGCAGCAACAGTTAACCGGCAACTGGAGCTGCCACCGATAGTTGCCACAGCGCCCAATTTCAATTGGATGCTGCCGATGTCAACGGCAGCTGCGGCGCCAGCGGAGGCGAGTGACCATGTTGTTGCTTAAATACAATTCGATTTATAGCATTCAATAAAGTTTAATAGTTAATGTTTACATTATCATCATTATAAATATTACAAAAAAAAAAAAGACTTTAATTGGGTTGAAACAACAAAAGAAACGAGAAACTCATCGGAAATAGATTATGAATGAAAGTCGGCATATCTACGGCACGCCGCAGATTTAATACCCTTGATATGTGAGAACTATTTTACTATGCATAAAATCCTTCTTCGACCGATTCTTTCCATAGGGCTTTATAATATAGTAATGCAATCTAAATAAGATTTGACTTAAAAAGAAGCAGCATAGTTAGTGATCCGGTTATGTCACAGCCTGTTCTTCTTCTTCTTCCCATAAGTCCTCTGCATAGGCAATGCATTCTTGATTAACTCCGGTGCATAGCGTCCGATCCTCATCAAATTTTCAGCGCTTTAATACAGAGCTTACAAAGAAAAGATATACTATATACCAAAGTGCAAAGCTCTAATGTAAAAATTTTAGGTATTTACTTATGGGAAGGCATTAAAAATGAAAAAATATATTTAATCTGTAGATACACTATACAAGACCCTAGACAGCATGTCTAGCTTTTATGCCTTTCCAGTTGTGCTGAAGAAACCAAAGCGCCAAATCTATATTTATGTACGTATATTTCTAAAGTGGGAGAACATATCGGATGAAAAATGGACAATCGGACAGACCGACGGACTGAGGGGCTTATATGCCCAGATCGACTCAGCTCATTGTCCTGATAAAGGTTTGGGATCGGAAATGCCTCCATCTGCATACTGCTTCTTCTCCTACAAACAATTGCTCAAAGAATAAAATGATGTCTAGAAAAGAAATTTCATTTTTAATAAAGGTATTCAAACAAAACCTGAGTTAACAGATATGACAAGGTTCAGGCCGGGAACCTCGAGAACAAGGAATTTGTTCGAACCGTGAACTGAACCAGCGAACCACAAATTGTTGTGAGGTTTGTCTTAGCTGCTGCCTAGAGCTGCCTGCCAAAAACGTCAATGCCCAGGGCATAGGACAGAGCCTGAGCCAGATAGGTTTCGTCGTGCACACCATAGAAGAGCAAGGACTTGGGTCCTGCAAAACAAAATAAAAGGATCATCGACTTAAGTCAAGCGGTTCGCAGCCTGACTCACCCTGTGCAAAGAGCAGACTCTCAGATGGCAACTGCTGCAGCCTGCGCTGCAACTGCAGCTCGGGCCCTTGAAGAGACTCCTCCAAAGTGCTGACCAGCTGCGTTTCCCCGCTGACATCCCGACTGGAGCTGAGATAATTGCCATTTGTGAGCAGCACCATTGTCAGCAGATCCTTTTGGCCCATCAAACGGGCCAGCGTCGCATTGAGCAGCTGCAGCTGCTGCCGGGCAACCATGTGCGGCTGCACATAGTGCTCCACAATTAACAGATGGCCCACACCCGGACGCCTGAGTACCTGCAGCGTTCGATTTAGCATCAATTGCAGCGTGGGCGCCCGGGAGTTGGCGCTCAAATCCCCATTGGCAAGCACGCCCAGCAGATAGTCCAGGCTGCTGCCATTGATGGAGCTGAGCTCCTGCTCATGCTGCACCAGCTCGAAGCGTGGCATGGGCTTGCTTTTCAGTTTTTGATTGCGCCAATCGCGCAACAAATTGCGTCCAGCTCTGGCGCGGCACAGCAGCTCATCCGTCGGATCCCACGCATATGTGGGCACTTTGGCATTGAACAGCTGCCGGCCGCCGCCTAGCAGCACATTTAACGCCTGCCCCGTTGCACCCGAGATGAGCTGCTGGGCCACATCCTGGCAGCCGGACTCAATGGCACCCACCGGCATCAGGCCATCGCATTCCCAGCTGCTTTGCTCCACCTCCGCGTACAGTGCGGCGCCCATGGCGCCCGTCAGACGTTGATTGGTCACAAAGCCGGTCCGTAGGCCCGCCAGCTGGGCCTGGCGCAGCACGCTGTGCAGCTGGCCGGGCGCCGCGCTGCAGTTGCTCCGCACACGCTGAGCAGCTGCCAGCGGCACACCCGTCCAGAGGGCACGGAAAACAGCCGACGCATCGCAGGGCGAACTGTAGCTGCAGCTGTTCTTCAGCCGTGCCGCATGCGGGAATCGATCCCAGATGTAGCCCGAATGCTGTGAGCCGTTGAAACGTGCCGCCGCCAGGGCGGGCGCATCAATGCCGTGGATCATTAGCAGCCACACATCTTGGGGCTGGCTGCGCTTGGAGTGCACACGCAGCGCCCACTTGAGCTCCTCAATGCCCTTGTCGTACCAGAGCTTCTGCTCGGCGGACACCGCATCCTTCCAGTAGTCCACGTCGCCCACATTGGCCACCTCGTGCTCCACCTCGTAGCGTATGGTGAAGCCAATGCAGAGCAGCGACACGAGCAGCGACAACACCACCGAACCGGCCAAAATGAACAATTGCGTCGACTTGAGACGCAGCTGAAAGCAGAACCTTCTCATCCGCTGCGACATGGCCATGGAATATGCCCCTAACTAACTGCGACTATGCGCTTCATAGGTTTTTATCTCCCCATCCGACCAACTATCTGTCTCTCCATCCATCTATCTATCTAGATAACATTTGTGTAGACTGTTTGAAGTTTTTATACCCACAATTTGCATTTAGTGCTCGTAATTAGATGGAAAATCTCATGCATATTTCACACTTTAATTGCCATATAAACAAATGCATTGTACACTGAAAGAAATTGCATTACAATTACAAATAATACTTCAACATTGTTTACTTTATGTTGTTATGTACTTTCTCTATATGAAAACATTTTTGTTTTAAAATATTTATTTACAATATTATAATATCAGCAATATTATGAGGAGTTTCATGCCTTACACAGAAAGAAATTGCATAATCTTTTTATTGGTAAATGTTGTGACTGAGCTAAATCAAATTTATTCGCTAATGCACTGAACAAATATTTAAACCCTAATATAATAATATTTTAACTTTCTTTTATTTAACTCATATATGGGTAAATGTACACTGAAAAAAAATATTTTCCAATTATGAAAAATATCAAATATTTATTAATGAATAGTTGTGCATCAGTTTATTCGAACAAAGACAGCAACGAATGTGCACTGAGAAGAATTATTTTTAAATGTTAAATAAAATTGAAAATAATTTACACAGATATATACAAATATATGTATATACTAGGGGGTATAGCCCAGCCTTGCCCGTGGCGCGTATAAAATAAATGTTCTCAAAAAGCTTTGAAAATGATTTTGAATCAGCAATCAGAAATAACTCGGCTTTGTTTTCTCTAAATTTTAGACATGGCTATTCCACCCGTTTTCCGCACGTCGTAAAGTTAAAACTCATCCAGCATAATAGATGCTCGCAATCAGTAAAAGCCTTGCCTAGAAATTCTTTACATTTATTTTTAAATAATATTTGATTTATTGCTACCTTGCCTAGAAATTCTTTAAATTTATTTGATTTATTGCAACCAATTTTGCGCAGTGTGTTAAATGCACAAAATTGAAATTCCGATTTGAATATTAGCCTTACCTTTGCCGTGGGTCAACGACGTCTCTGTTTTGGCAATTAAATGCTGCACACATTCTGTGCCATTATTTGTGGGAGGCCACAACTGTTTTATTGAATGGGCGTGGCCCCACAACACACACACACACACGCACAGCCGGACAATGCATCTAATTGTCATTTGAATATTGACAAGCCGCAGCCAACTATTCGCTCATGAATTTTCAATTACAACGCATCGAGCAGCATTTTGCACATTTGTCGTTATGCGAATGCGAAATTATTATCGCAATTGCCAGTCGTTAACCTGCTGTCACGCCCCATTGACCCCACCCTACACTCAGCGAAAATGAAAACTGGGAATCGAGTACAAATTGTGAGCAAAAGGTTATGCAGTTCCGTTTAAGATATCTTAAGCTGAGAATCAAATTCTTAATCCCAGAACTTTTCTTTAGACTCAAAATTCTTAAAAGCTCAATTTAAGACATGTGGTTTGTCTATTGTGAATATTTTACGCTTATTTCAAGTACGAAATGTTTTTAAAATGCAAAAAGCGAGTGCAAAATGTTCTCTAAGTGCAGCCAGGCTTAAGAATTCTTCAACTGAGAATCAAATTCTCATTTCAAGAACTTTTCTTCAGGCCCTAAAACGTGCTGTACTCAATTTAAGCGTAGATGTTGTGCGTCTATTGTGAATACCTTACGCTTTTTCAAGTACGTTTTTGTTTTGGAGCTCTTTTTTCAGCCAGAATCTTGTATTTAAGCCTTGTCAAAATTGCAGCAGAAACTGGCTTAAAACTATTCGAAAACTATTCTTGACATTGTCAAATAAAATTTCTTAATTCAAAAAGTATTGTACTAAAAATTATTGTATTTGGAAAATAACAAACGCATTTTCAAAGATCTTTGTCAGGATTTTTTTTGATATGTTTTCGCAAAGTTCACCAGAAAACTTTCATATTGAACATATTTTTTGGAGGAAAGGCAATATCTAAACAATTTTTAGCAGCAACCCGAATTCCGAATGAAATGTATTCAAGCGTTTTAGTCCAGTTTCTCTCAGTGTAACGGCTGGCCATCATTTCGACGCTTTGAAGTTAGTTTGCATTGACATGTGGTCAGTTTTCCCTGTCACAATTGTAGCAGCAGCAGCTGCCACATGCCACTTGCCGCTTGCCGCTTGCCACTTGCAGCGGACTCACGTTTCTTTATCAATTTGCCAATTTATCTAGTTGTCCTGTTGGCCCTGACAGTACATCAAATACGCCCAGGGAAGTGACCTTTCCTTCTGAATTATTTCCGCTGGCAATTTTTCAATCATGCTGTGAATTTGAGCTACGCATTGCGTGCGGCTCATTGAGCTTTTATTGCCGTTACATACTTTATTATTAAATACTTGGTCTCAACCTTCAGGCTTCCTTTACCGTTAAATATCTTATCCTGAGTAGTTTCCAATTGAGTAGTTTTTATTTACACTCAATGCGTGCGGGCGTACGCACTGCGAGCTGTCAACATGAAAGCTTTAGCACGCTTGTATGGTTCATGCATTGGCTAAGCTTTTGCTCAAGCATCTTCTACTTATTACTTAGCGCCATCTATTGACAGTAGACTGCAAGCACATGCAACAGGCAAGTACGCGCTTAAGAACCTGTGCATATATGTGCACACATGCATACAAACTGTTCGCCTAGCATGTAGCTGGTATATATGTGTGTGTAAGTATTTATATACTCACACACACAACTGTTGTGACCGAATTTTTACCAATTTTGCGGGGTGTGAGGGTGTGAGAGAAAGAAACGAACAGTGCGATACAGTGGAAAGATAAATCAATTACTTGGGTTTGGGGAGGCTCCAGATTAATAAATGCTGAATACTGAGAAACCCTGAAAAACCCAGCTCATGAGTATTTACTTTAAAAAGATAAAGCTAAATAACTATATATAGATAAGCACCTATCTATAGATAATTTCTGTACAGATTAATAGGTAAATAGATACATATGTATAAAAGATATAAAAGTAAGTAAAAAGATTATCAAGTATCTATATATATGTGCAAATAGAAAGATATATATATATCAAAAGGGCATTCATATACCTAAATTTATAAGAGATCTATACATATGTATAGATATTTATCTATAGATATACAGGTACATAGAAAGACAGATAGATATGTATCTATGCGTATTCATCGATAGATAGAAATGTATGCATATGTAGATAAATAGATATTTATGCATAGATGCATAGAAAGATAAATTTGTATCTATAGATATATGCAAATAAATGTAGATAGGTAGACATATGGTTATCTATGGATTAACGATAGATAGAAATTTATGCATGGATAGATATTTATCTACAGATAACGTGTAGAAAGATTGATACATTTTATCTATAGATGTATAATTATCTATAGATGTACGTTTACGTAGAGAGATAGATAAATACATACATAGCTATGTATTTTAAACAAATATGTATCTATAGAGTTAAACATACATATTTATATATATATATATATATATATATAGTTAGACATAAGAGTCTATTCCTGTACATAACTAGATAGAAATGTATCTAAAGAAATTATATGTACATATCCATCGCTAGATAGATATGTATCTATGGATAAACGTATACATCGATTGATAAATAGTTATGTATCCATAGATATATGGCCAGCTTAACAGATGTAGATAAATGTGCTGACCAGGATGCAATTAGTGTCGAGTGGCTATCAAGTTGCAGTTGACATGGAGCCTGGGAAAGCTATTTGACCGCCCTGTAACGTGAATGGACTGCGCCGTGGCGCATGTGGCATGCAGCTGTTACCGCCAACTAATTGAAGGAGCCAACCAAGGGCCGGAAGAGGAGTGGGAGGTATGGCAGCCGCAGGAGCAGCAGCACATGCAGTTCAACAGCTGGCGACGCCCACGCGGCCCAAGGATGTGAAATGCCAAAGCGTGGGCGAAAGCGACAGGCCAGAGGAGGGAAAGAGCGAGAGGAAGAGAGTGCTAGAGAGAGAGAGAGTGAGAGGGCCAGGGGGAGCGGAAGTGCGCTGGCTATGGGAGAGCGAAGTTGTGAGCCGTGTGCAATCGGGCGGCTCCCTGCTGAACGGGGCTCTGGACTCTGCTCTTTGCACGCCGTTGACCTTGTCCTCCAAATGGCGAAATGCAAGAGATTTTTCAGCGTCATATTTTCCTTTTCGTTCTATTTGCTTCCATTGCATTTTCCACACTTCCATATGGCCCTTGCGGATTCACGCACACAGTTGGCAAATGCGTTTATTTATACATTTGAATTAATTACAGGCAACTATACAACTTTTCTGTCAATTAAATTGTTTTTACTTATGCTAAAAAACATTTCACTTTAAATGCAACGCAATTTTTTGTTACTTTGGTTTTTATATTTTGTGCGGGGGCACATTATAGAGAAGCTGCTACTGTGTGTGTGTGTGTGTGTGTGTGTGTGTGTGTGTGTGTGTGTGTGTGTGTGTGTGTGTGTGTGTGTGTGTGTGTGTGTGTGTGTGTGTGTGTGTGTGTGTGTGTGTGTGTGTGTGTGTGTGTGTGTGTGTGTGTGTGTGTGTGTGTGTGTGTGTGTGTGTGTGTGTGTGTGTGTGTGTGTGTGTGTGTGTGTGTGTGTGTGTGTGTGTGTGTGTGTGTGTGTGTGTGTGTGTGTGTGTGTGTGTGTGTGTGTGTGTGTGTGTGTGTGTGTGTGTGTGTGTGTGTGTGTGTGTGTGTGTGTGTTAGTGTGTAATCGCATTCTATCAAACATCTATATGCTTTTAAGTGTATACAAATGCGAGGCAGAGGCGTAGCTGAGCCGGGTCAAAAGGGGCATTCACAACCTGTGACACGTTCATTTGAGTCCCAAATCGTTCAATCCCAATACTACGCAGTAGTTGTTGAGTATTATGACTCATTCGCCAATTTGGATATTAGCATATTTTAGAGGTTTATGAGCCACATCATCATTCAATCAGTTCATAAGTTTCAACATCG